GGCGCGTCAAGAAGGAGGGGGTGCGCACGGACCACGGCTTCCACTGGAACGCCAAGGCCTACACGGCCAAGGAGGCTTGGGGCATGCTCTTGGAGCACGTCAACTACGGCAAGTGAGCCGCCGTGGACGGGGTGCGCTTCCTAGGGCGCGAACCTAGGCAGGTGGGGTTCAGCGATCGATCTCGATCGCTAGCATGCTTCAAAGTCCCCCGTGCGTCCTTCCTGCGCGGTAGGCTCGCCGCCGCGCAGGGTTTGCGATGAAAAAAACGCTTGCCCTCCCCCTTCCGCGCTGTCCTCCCTCCTCCGCCCTCTTTTCATCTCCCCCTCCCCGCGGGCCGCGGTTCTTCGAGGGGGCGGGGGCCTAGGCCCCCGACCCCATCAAAGAACCGACGTTTCGGACGGGTTTTCGAAAACGCCATGTTACGATGAAGTTTTTTGTGTGATGACGATGATGATGATGGTGATGATGATTACGATGGCGATGATCATGATGACGAAACGGGGGGGTCGGCGGAACGGCGTAAGCCACTTGAATGCAAGCGTTTTTTGGGGCGTCTTGAGGGCCTCTTGAGGGCCTCTTGGGACTTCGGGACTTTGCCATTTTTTCAATCGCGCCGAGTCGGCGAAGGGTAGGCCGTCGGGTTCAGGCCGTCGGGGCTCGTATCGGGTAGGCCGTCGGGTTCAGGACGTCGGGGTAGGCCGTCGAGTACGCCGAGCTGATGGCCGTCGGGTAGGCCGTCGGGTAGGCCGAGCTGATGGCCGTCAGGTAGGCCGTCGGACGTCCTACTTCGGGTCCTCCGCGCCCTTGTCGACCTCCAGCCAGCTGGAAGCCGAGCCGCCTGCAGGCTATTCTTCTTCAGGGGCCTGCACCGACACCACTGCCGAGACGGGGATCTTGATGTTCGAGCTGCCAGCGCTGGTCGATTTGTGCTCCATGGCGTGGCACATCTTGTAGCCACTCTGCCAGCCGTCGTCGTAGCCGTCATTGTAGCCACTCTGCCAGCCGTCGTCGTAGTTGTAGGCCACCTTGTAGTTGTCGGCCTTCGTGTAGTTGTCCTTCTCGTACTGGTTCTGGCGCTCGTTCATCTCGAAGTCGCACTGGCGCAGGCCGCTCTCGAGATCCGCGTCGACGTAGAGGCCCCACTTCTCGTTCACGAACCACTCCTGGTCCAACTCGCCGTCCCAGGTCTCTGGGTGCCTGTTCGCCAGCTCGCATCGGTGCAGCTTCACCTTGGTCTCGGGGGCGTCGTTGCCCAGGATGTCCTGGATGAGCTCCGCCTTGCAGTCCTTGAGCTTAGGGAACTGCGGCCACGGGTCGTCGCCCGAGATCGGCACGTAGAGCGGCACCCACATGTCAAGGTGCGACAAGTAGAACCAGCACTTCATCCTCGTCTCCCTGTTGATCATAAGGTAGTGCACGCCGTGGTGCGGGCCAAACGCCATCGGGTTCAGCGTCGGGTTGGGCGTCGGGATGGCCGTCGGGTTCGGCGTCGGGTTGGCCGTCGGGTTGGCCGTCGGCGACGGCGCGGGCGGTGGCGCCCGAAAACTTGAGCCAGAATGTCTGTATACCGCGTGGGAGCCGCTTGGGGGCGTCTTGGGCAGTCTTAGGCCATCTTGGAGCCATATTGAGCCGTCTTGGAGGCTTCGTGGACGAACTTGAAGGCATCTTGGACTCTCTCGGGCCATCTTGGGCGCCATCTTGGACCATCTTGGGCGGACTCGGAGGCCATCTTGGGGGCCATCTTGGGCCAACGTAGCCATCTTGGAGGCCATCTTGAGCCGCCTTGAGCCGTCATTCCCATATGTCGCTCGGCGAGCTCCGCCCCTGCGAGAGAGACAACTGCGACGGTTGCGCACTTGGCAGGCCCGTGGCTGGCTCGATAAACCCGAGACAAGCAAGTTGTAACATCCAGTCATAATGCAGCACGCCCAACGCGCTATATGGTAGCGTCGCGACTGCGTGGCCTCCTCCCGCGGCGACGGAGACGCCGACGACGTTGGCGGCGGCGGCGGCGACGGCGGCGGCGACGACGACGACAGCGATGTCCCGCGTCTCGGCCGTAGATCGGGGCGAGCCTCCGATGCGCGAGGGGAGGTATGATGATGATGATGATCGGGGCGAGCCTCTGATCATCGCCATCGCTATGATGATCGCGATGCAAACCGCGTCTGTCAGGCCACGGGTTTTCATGTAGCGTTTTTCGCCGTGAAAGCTAAGTGATCGTAAGTGGCTCGGGCGGCGGGGCGCCGTGGACCAGAAACCGCTACTCGATTTTGGCAACAAAAGCTCAATGATTCGCAATTGATTATAAGTCCAGATGCGGGCTTATGGCATAAATGCATAATGCCAGTTACATTTTGAATATATGCAGGATATCCCACATATAAGCCATGCGTGGCTTATAGTCTGGCTAGATTTGCTTAGGCCACTTATATGGTTCGCTTACATGACTTGCAAGCTGAGACGGGTGCCTTATAAGCATGGGTTATAAGCTCTCATGCGCCACCGCCCGTGAAGCGCGGCCGCGCCCGCGGCGGGGGCGCCGGCGCCAGCCGCGCCCGCGCCCACGCCGAGAGCCCCCGCGCCAGCACGGCCGGCGAGGTTGGGCACCGCGCGCGGCCCTGGCGGGAGCCCGAGGCGGCCCTCGGCCGCCGCGCGCAAGGCGTCGCAGGTGGCGGGAGCCGGCACGGCGCGGAAGCGGTGGATGCGGGACGCTCCTGTCGCGGGGTTGCCGGCCCCCATCGCACCACCGATGCTCGGCAGCCATGCCGCGATGTCGGCGCCAGGGGCCCCTGCCGCGAACAACTGCTCCTCGTAGCAGTCGCCGTCGGGGGTCAGGATCGCGAGGTCGGTCCGATGGGGCGACGCGATCAGCACCATGCGCTCGTGCCAGACCTCTGGCCCAAGGATGTCGTAGCGCTCCAGGATGAAGTCGCCCGGCGAGATCCCCAGGCCGGCAAGGTACTCGGCGACGTGCGCCGCCATCACTGCTGGGAGCCGAGCCGGCGAGAGCGGATCTCACGCGCCTGCTTGGTACCGATGTCCTCCAGGGACGCGATCGGGGTCACGAGCGCGCCTGACGCGGTCGGCGGGCCCGCGGCCTGCGGCACGCCCGCGCCGCTGCGGCGCAACGCCAGCAGGACGCAGCAGGCGCCGGCCGCGGCCGACACCACCGCCAGAGCGAGGGTGCCCGGCAGCGTGAGCCCAGTCACCGTGCTCTCCGAGCTATGGCCGCCCGGGCAGGTGATGCGCGGCTCGCACGAGCACGAGCAGGGGGGGCACTTCGCGCCCGCCGAGGAGGAGTACGCTATGACACCAGCGCCTGCGGCCTGGCCGGCCCCCCGCAGCAGCTCCCACACTGCTGTGTGGAGCACCTCCATGCGCGAGCCCGCGGGGCCCAGAGCTTGAGCAGCAACGGTTGCACACAGATGTTGACGCAATACGTGCTCACAACACCGCTTCGCGGCAACCGTGCGGCCGCTCCAGCTCTACATCTCTGCAAGACGATATGAAATCTCCCACGGGTCGATGGTCGGATCCAGTATCGATGTCGGGAATCACCTTGCATTTCTTCACGTCAGCCTGTTTCTTGGCCGGAATAATAATGAACTCAAGCTGCTTCTTGTTTATGCCATTTCCGTACGTCCATCACTTCTCGTGTCCGCCTGCGCTGAATGTGTTAGCGAGCCGTAAACAATGAAAACAACACCAATTGATCAACACATCTCCCCGCCAATTTCGTTTCCCGATCCGGTTTGTTCCGAGAACTTCACGTGCGTCTTCATCGTGATTGTGGTCTAGGCCTGGGCCAACCTCGGCATTGAAGTCCCCAGCAATAGTGAAATCCCCAGGGGCACCCAATAGTGAATCCAACACGTTGTAAACAGCGTCTACAAGTATATCTGCGTACTTACGGTGAAACATATGAACACCTATGATGTTGAATATCGAACCGTGCATGTCTATGGTCAGCATGGCGGCTCTTTTAGACAACGCTTTGAATGACGTATAACGCCATCTTTGGCGCAATAGGAACCCAACCCCATTGGAGCCCTTGGTGCCTCCGCTGCCGAACCATGTGTGCTTGCCCTTTGCTGAAAAGATTTCTTCCTTGGGGTCTCTCCAGGTATCCGTGAAAACGATAACGTCCCAACGTGCCTTCCCAACCTCGGCCGTGATAGCCTCAAACCGCGAGTCGAAATCCATGAAAGAGTGGATGTTGTAAGTGAGGAGGTTGAAAGTGATGGGCTTCAACAAGGACTGTGAAGCAGGAGACTTTGGAGGAGCTGGTGAAACAGAGGGTAGTGAAACAAGAGTTGGTGAAACAGTTGTCGGCGTAGCGGGAGTCCTCGAAGATCGAGCTGATGATGTACCGGGTCCTGAGGGATGAGCAAGGTTGGTTCCTGCGGGTGTCACACGAAAGCCTACGGCTTGAAGCGGGACGTCCCCATCAATCGAAGCATACTTTCCTCGACCACCCCCTCCAGAGAAAGGTAACCCAATGCCTTCCGAAGGTGATGTTTGTCCCAAAACTGTGTCTGGTATTAGGGCGCCTGTGCGCCTCCCTGGGGCGCCTCTCGGGCGTCACTCGCTGTCCGTAGTTGGGTCAGGGTACTGCTTCGCTTTCCAACGTTGCATGGATGACTCCACATCTGCCTCGACTGACTTACCTACTGCCGTGGTGCACCACACGCCAGATTCATTGTGAAATGCCACTTTCTTCCCCCTACCGCAACCAACGACTTATCCCACCAAATCCTGACATCTCCCTCCTGAAATTTGGAATCAGGGTTGTGTAATAGGTGATGTTTTGTGTAGCCCATCCTCTTTTCCTTCTCCTGCTCGTCCTTCGTGATATTACTCTTGAAGAATATGTCTCCGATGATTTCCTTTCCGGGGAGGGGGAGGAGAAGGAGGGGAAGCACAGTCCACGAGATCACCTCCTCCCCTCTCGGGTAGGTCCGCGGCGGGGCACGGCGCGGGGCGCAGCGGTGGGCCACCTCCATGGCGGCCATGTTGTGTCTCAGGAAGCCCGTCAGAAGCAGGGCGATCTGGGTAGCGCTCTCTTTGCTCGCTCTCGTCCTCCGCCTCCTCCTCCTACTCCCTCCTCCTCCCTCCTCCCTCCTCCTCCTCCTCCTCCTCCTCCTCCTCCTCCTCCTCCTCCTCCTCCTCCTCCTCCTCCTCCTGTGGAGGAGGAACTGTTAGATGCTCTGCTCGACAGCCCGAAGGCGCAGCAGACCGAGTCCCGCTCAAACATGGACGCCACGCCCCAAGTGGCCAGCAGGAAGCGGAGCCACACCACCTTCGAGACCCTGGAGAGCATCGACAAGCTGAACCCCAACATTGTCAACAATGTCGAGGAGGCAAACCCGCCCAACGTGGACAGCAACGAGCTGATCGTCACAAACGACAAGTTCGAGCAGTGCGAGGCGGCGATGCGCAGCAACTTCGCTACCGAGGGCGAGGCTGTGGACAAACTGCCTGCCCCCGCCTCGTCTTTCATCACGAAGGTCACCGAGAACGCTAACCTGGAAGACGCCTCCCTGCAGGAGACCATTGAGGCACCGCCGGTGCAGCAAATCGTCGAGAGCGACACCACAGTCCAGGAGTACCGCTTCGGGGACACAGCGGTGGAGCCCACAAGCGAGGTGGCGCTGCACAACGGCCTCGGCATGAACCCGAAGGCCGCAGTAGCATCGAGCGCCAACGCGGACAATGAGGAGATGAAGGACACCACCTTCACGACTCTCGAAGCCGTTCCGCGTTGGCAATATAGAGATGACAGTGGATTTTGGAAGGACTTCGCGGACGCCCGTGACAGTGCCAAGTTAGACAAGAGATATCACAAGTTCCTTCAGCACCCTGGGAAGAGCATCATCACGATATTGTTGTTCAACTCGGACGGCATGGAGGTAGATTTCAGGGCAATGGAGATGTGGCCTATTGTGAAAGGAGGCTTTCGCAACCGTAGCAGCCTCCGCAAGCTGTAGGGGGCTCCCTGTGCGGCGCGGGCGCGAAGATATCCGCGCCTTGGGCGGGCTCTCCGCGGGCCCCCCCTGGGGCCCCCTCGCCCGCCCCTGTGCTCGCACTGTTTGGGGCCCTCGTTCGTTTTCCCGAATAAGCCTCTAGGCCGTAGTAGGGATTGTGATTTGGATAGAAATCCCGTCTCGGTTAGCCGATTCCGCCACGAGCTCCTCTAGGCAGGGGCGCAGGCGATGGAGATAGATCGACTGTCAGCGAAGGAGACGGTAGGATAGTGAAGATATTCTGGCCTCGGATGGGGGCCCCCGATTTCCTTGCCTCCCTGCTGCCGTGCTCCTCAAGGAAGGCGCAGCACGGCTGGTCGGCGGGTTGTGGAGAGGGAGATCGGATGCCACCCCTGAAGGTAGAGGGTTGGGTCGGGTCGGCCAACCCTCTGCCTTCCCCCCCTTGAGAATGTGATGGTCCTCCTCCTCCTCCTCCTCCCTCCCTCCCTCCCTCCTCCTCCTCCTCTTCCTCCTCCTCCTCCTCCTCCTCTTCCTCCTCCCTCCCTCCCTCCCTCCCCTCCTCCCTCCCTCCGCCCTCCCTCCCTCCCTCCCTCCCTCCCTCCTCCTCATTGTCCTCCTCCTCATTGTCCTCCTCCTCATTGTCCTCCTCCTCATTGTCCTCCTCCTCATTGTCCTCCTCCTCCTTGTCCTCCTCCTCCTTGTCCTCCTCCTCCTCCTCCGCCTCCTCCTCCTCCCTTCTCCTCCCTCCTCGTCCCTCCTCCCTCCTTCCTCCTCCTCCACCATCCTCGTCCTCCTCCTCCTCCCATTGTCCTCCTCCTCCTCTCCTCTCCTCCTCCTCCTCCTCCTCATTGTCCTCCCCCCATTGTCCTCCTCCTCGTTGTCCTCCTCCTCCTCCTCCTCATCGTTGTCCTCCTCCTCCTCGGTGTCCTCCTCCTCCTCCTCCTCCTTCTCCTCCTCCTGCCCCTCTTTCTCGTCTTTTTCGTTTCCTTCTTCCTCCTCTTTCTCCTCTTTCTCCTCCTTCTCCTCTCTCGTCCTTCTCCTCGTCATCCCCAGCCATCGCCGTGACTGTGGCTCGCGCCCTCGTCTGGCTGATCTGGGCCGGTGCTGCTCCTCTCTCCTTCCTGCGTTTCGAATGCTCGTGCCCCGTGCTCCCGATCCATTATGATAGAGACAGAGGGCGTTCGAGCCCCATCCGAAGCCAAAGCGAGCCCTGTCCCAAATGCTCGACTGTACCAGTAGTAGCCGCACCAGGAGGAAGCGGGCTCGTAGTGAGGCACGAGCTCGCAGCGCTAGCAGCAAAATATATACTGCGCATGCAGTGCTGGCATTAGTGGCCATGGCAGCCTTTGTTATGCGCCACGTGCTGATTGGCAAAGTTTCGTGTGCTCTGACACAGGGTCACCACGCCCACGCGTGTGCATCGGCCCACTCTCCCGAAGCTCCCTGCGCGCCCTCCCGGAGCTCTCCAAGACTGCCAAGACGGCCCTTGGAGCCACCAAGGCCACCAAGAAAGAGGCGCCCAGAGGGCCATCTGGTGCCTCCCAGACACGTCGGTCGGAAGGAGTATATCAAAACATGAAGTAGGAAGGCGGGTAAAGTAGATTGGGTCCAGGTCCTCCCAGATAATAACACAAAGCAGCAAAATCACGTCGACTCTTCAAGTAGGAAGGCGCTTGACGTAGACTGGGATCTGGGAATCCAGCAATACCTACTTCCAACGACCGGCGTGTACATCAACGCGACAGCCTGGAGGCCCTCTGGGAAGACCATCAGGATCCAACAGCACATGGACATCAATATGCGTTTGAGTACGGCAGGTTCGTGTCGTGACGACCCCGGCGTTGGTTTCTGACACCGCGTGGATCGTTCAACCTCGAACTACTTTTCGATCGCCCGATCGTTCACATAGGCCGATTCTGGGTCACTGGCGGCGGTCAACTTTGAACGCCCGCGGCGGGGTCGCCGACGGTCGACACGACGCAAACCGACCGTATGCTGGGTCCCCTGGGCCTCTCGGCTCGAGCTGGTTGAAAGCGAGCCTCGGCGGAACCACGGGGAGGCCAAGAGAGTCCAACGAGGGCGCCCAGAGGCCATCCAGACGGTCCAGGACAGCCCCAAGAGGACCCCAAGACGGCCCAGGACAGCGGAAGCGGGCTCCATGGTGGCTCAATAGACGCCCCCAACGACAGCCCCACGAAACTCTCCCGGCGGACGAGAGGTGCCCCAACCGGCCCAAGACAGCCGAAGAGGGCCCCAAAGAAGGCCAGGACAATCCCAAGACGGCCAAGAAAAGACCCTCCGAGGCCCCTTGAAGGAGTACGAGCGAGAACTGTCACGCAATACGGCCTTCGGTGATCGAAACGTCGCCACGCAGAGTGCTGCGCTGGCACGGTGACGGGATCTGCCACAGGTAGCTGGCTGCTCGCACTAACAATCGGATGCGTAGTGATTCTGGTGGCGGAGCGTCTCCGAGATTGCCCAAGGCCCAAGCCAGTGATCAGCAACGTAAAGACCGATGCCAGTGGCAATATCGCATCTTAAAGAGCGCCCAAGGAAACACACATAAATACACGCAAACTCCAAGACTCCCAATATTCATAAGACTTTCTGGATGTCCGTCTTCCGCTCCACTTCCCATAGTTTCCCTGTCTGCTGAGAGTCGACGTTTATTCGTGTCTGTAGATGTTTCCCTCCTGGATCGTTTCCCTGAGATGGGCAACGCATTCAGATGGCCAAGGTGGCCCAATATTGCCCCAGGAGAACACTTAGAAGGCCCCGATAAGCCTCCTGGAAGCTCCATCACATGTCTCTTGCCTGGAGCAATTCCCTAACGCCTTGAACGAACACACATACCAAAAGGCCTCACGATATTCCCAACAAGGCTTCCGGGCCCACTGGCTGAGGCAAACAAACACGGCTGACCATGGTTGTCCATCCGATCATTGTTCCCCCCACTGCCCCTGACCTCTACACTCCACCTCGTCCTATTGATTGCATACCACTAGCTCGCTCTCCCTCCCGTTGTTCACCTCAGCGCCATATCGCTCTGCCTTCCCCAACACCACGCTGCCCTCTATCACCACCACCGCCCAGAGCCCATCCCCTCTTCAGGAGTCAGCGGGTTGGCGCGAGCTCAGCAACCACGACCAGAACACCGAGGGCAGAATTGGCTGGCAACGACGAACCACACCCAAACGCGGAATGCCAGAAACGTCCAATATCGTGATGCCGGCCGTGCCAGTAGTCGTCCATTCGAACTGATACCAGTGTAGGTGAACTAAGGGCTTTCATCAATAGTACTAGCAATCGTCGTAATATCAATGGTATCTGGAGTAGTCGGAGCGGCCATGACAGTAAGAAAGTCAGTAGTACTGATTGGACTCGTGGCGCACTATGTTGCGAGGTATCAGTAGTTGCAGTAGAACCTGTGGTTGTAGTGGTAGCCATGGTAGTGGCAACTGTGGTAGCAGCTGTAATAGTCATAGTACATTGGGCGCTCGTAGTAGTTGCGGCATGCGTCGAGCAGCAGCAGTGGCAACGTTGAAATGAAAAGCGATGGTTGTAGAATAGGGCAGCGCACATCTTCTTATACGCATATGTGCAGGTACTCATATATACATACGTCATTGAGGCGGGGGGGGATGACGACGATTATGCGGGTATAATAAAGCAGACGGCATACACAGCGGATCTCTTGGATCGGGACCACTCCCCCCCCCCTCCCATGCCGTGCGGGGAGGACCAGGTGTGGCGCAACGGCGGTGACCACAGAACTTCAACCGAATCTCCGAATGCATATGGTTACGCATGTTTCGTCAATGCTAGATTGCCATCATCTCCACCACCAGCAGCGACAATGACAAAAACACCATCAACAGCCAAATCAAGCAAAGTCAAGTGTCAGCAATTACTCCGAATGACGAGTCGGCAAGCGCTCTAAACATGAATTCCAGTGTTCTCTGCACATGTGCTCGCCATGAGTAGTCAGACCTGCCCATCTGTGACCTTGCCCAGCGACGCGAACAACAGTAGGATACAGATACTGGCCCGCTCCAGCCTGGGCCGCCCACAGCTCCTGCCGCATCGATCTCTCATGTGCTGCCAGGCTGTGGAACAACAAAGACCGGCAGCCAGAGTCGGCGGCGAGCGAGGGGGGGAAGTGAGAAGGATAAGGCCTTCTCAGAAGGCGGCGGGACTTCTCGGACCCCCTCGCACCTTGTGAACAACTTTCTGTCTTCCGGGAAGACTTAGAGAGCTTCTCAGAAGGCCTGGGGACTTCCGAGCCTTCTGAGAAGGCCTTCCCCTTCTCGCTTCCCCCCCTCGCTCGCCGCCGACAGAACCAAACGGGTAGCAGCAAACAGCTAGAAGCCGCCCAAAAGGGCGCGCGCCCAGCGCCTGGTTGTGGAACACCTCCCAGAAGATCTTCTGGGGGCCCGGCATCGCCGCGCAGGCCTGGCTCCCAGCACGGGTCCAATTCTCGTTCGCTCCACTTCACCCATCGGTCGTTGAAAGCGGGTACTTCTGGATTCCCAGACCCCAATCTACTTTCGGCGCCTTCCTATTTCAATCAACGGTTGTTTTTCCCCTTTCCTTCATCTTTTGGGGGTCGGGCGGAAACCCAATCTATTTCCAACGCATTCCTACTTCATGCTTTTACCCAATTCTTTCGACCGATGGGTCACCGGTGTGACAACTCGTCAGTGCCGCGCGAGTCGAAACAAAATCCAACAGAAACGAACTGTGGAGTCTTGAGAAGCTGCTCCGACGCGTCCGATTCCACAGCACTGGTCGTCGTTCCGCTCGATCTGCGACGCGACGCCTCCAGGCGCGTGGTACCGGTCCACATTCCCCTTTAGAGGCCTCCAACATGGGGTCCGAGTAGGTGGGGTCGGAGGATCGCGCTGCATCGCTAATACATCCCCAGTGCATCGGAAATACATTGGCAAATTATCGGTGATACATCGGCGATGCACCGCCGACCTTGGCGACGCATCTGCGCCTTCGTCGGGGGAAAAAGATGGCTCCGCTTTGAGCAGCATCGTCTACGCATCGGCGATGTGGAGCGATCGTCG